ACGGAAAATTGTTCCTCTACTTCGTCATCGTCTTCCAACATATCCAGGATCGCCTCAAATTCGTCTCACCACACAAACAGATCGTCTACACAGTCCGCCATCTTGAATGAATATTTGTGCACGGTCAGAGTCACGTGACGGGTCTGTTTAACATGGCCGACCGCGCTCTGGTTAAACCCTTTGGTGTTTACCGGGTTTCATAACCATCCCCTCTACTAACTATGCTGTATGCTATCGTTTATAATGTTTTGTTGTCTTTGTTTTAGGTCACTCGTGAGCTTCACAGGTTTTTACACCGACGATGAGCCGTATAACCCATCTTGAGCAACTCCTAAAATTCTGAAATAAAAATGGCACTTCTTTTCTTTCACACAACAAGACGGCTACGTTTAGAGTAAACAGCGCCATTTACGGCAGAACGACTCTACCAATCTTCATCAAACGACACACGCCGTTGCTACTCATAATATATCACACAGCAAGCCGGCTACGATTACAGTAACCAACGCCATTTGCAACAGAACGACTTTACCAATCTACGTCACACGCCGTTCCTAATCATAACATTAATATGTCAACAGTGTGGTATTTACGACTCTTCTCGGAAGGGAAAATAAAATACCGTGACTGAGCTGAAGAGTTTTGCTGTCTCTCAAAACGGGAGTTAAAAGGTTCGGAGCTGTTGTTTCAAGGAGGCAAAAGTAATCGAAGACACACAAATTCCGGCAAGAACGCAACGAGAAATACCTTAAAAAGTCTAACGATCAGTCAGGGGTCTAATTTCAAATAAGCGTATAATTTGTTCTGTTAGTACCCATCTGTTGTTACCTTTTTTTTTTAATTGAAACACAATCACATTTTCATTTGCGATTGTAATCGGGCAATTTGGAACAGAAACGACTTCACCAATCCACGCCGTTAATGCTTCGTAATTTATCGATGAACATGCACTAGGAACTCTACAAGAAAGAGGAAAATGATACCGCGGAAGTAGAGAGAACTAGTTCTGTTATCTCTAGAAACGGGAGTTGGAGATTTCGAGATTTCTTTGAGAAGCAGTATAAACGTAGACAACTAAATTTGTATTGTAAGCAGAGCAAATTCCGCAGAGAGAAACGCTTAAAATACTCTCAAGATGGATCGCCTGCATTGAAATTTCATTTATTACACGCAACGAGCTCAGGTTGCGATTGTATTCGCGTCGTTTGGAGCAGAAACCACTTCAGCAATCCACGCTGTTAATGCTTCGTAATTTATCGATGAATGCGCATTAGGAACTCTGCTCTAAAGAGGAAAATGATGCCACGAAAGTAGAGAGAACTAGTTCTGTTGTCTCTCGAAACAGGAGTTGAAAGGTTTCGAGATGTCTTTAAGAAGTAATTAAAACGTAGACAACTAAATTTGCATCGTAAGCGATCCATGTTCGATTGCCCTTATTGAAAACAAGTTATACGACTAATTTACCTCTTTACTGCCCATCCAATGTAGAAATTTCTTGAAAATGAATACAAGTAGCTGCTCTTCCAATTTTTTACGTACGCAGTTACCTTTTAAACAATCTAGTTTTTCCAAAACCCACAGTAAATTGCTTTTTTTGCCAAGAATGCGACATGCATGAATAAAGCTTAACCTAATTTAAACTCCAAACTGCTTACGGGACGGTTTCTCGCTTACAAGTTCTATTTGGCTAAATTCTCGCTTGAAACGTGAAATCCATATGTCAAGATTTACAACTGAGGCATCGGTGCAAAATGTTTGATCTTTAGACGAATTAGATGCATTCAGATTTAGTTTGCTCTGCTCCGCTTAATTCTCAGGCAGGCACTCATTCGATGAAAACCATGCAAGACTCGATAGAAGCAGTTACTCTTACCTTTAAGGAAGAAAACTACGACTGATTTTTGACGCGGAGTGCTTCTGAAAAACCAAAACGAAGCCCCAGTGGAGTAGATTAGCGCTGACTCAAATAACAAAACAACGCCTTAGCTGAACGAAAGCATCCCATCATGGACAAGTACTGGGTCTGGGTTAAGTTTTGCTTCGAGCTGATTTCCATAAAAGCGGAGTAGACCGTAACGGTGAATGATTAGTAGCGCTGACTCGAATAACAAGACAATGTCTTAGCTGAACAGATCTAGAAGCATCCGATCATGGACAAGTACTAGGTCTGGGTCAACTTTTGCTTCGAGGTGATTTCCATAAAAAGCGCGCGTAAGGTCGGCATGAAATTCCTGGCATTCAAATGTTCTTGTTGATATGAGAATCAGTACTTCTTAGCGAATTTAAAAGAAAATTTATCGGCCACTAAAAAACAGCTGCTGTTGACGCTTCTTGCTAGCTTTACGAGGCTTTGACACTAAACAAGTATTCAGCAAACTGATCAATCCAAAAGGTATGTTTTAGCGACTGAATGCAAATTTGTTTCAGTAGGAAACCATCTTCAGGCATTTTCAAACCCTGTTTGCTTGCATTATCGGTTTTTTAGCTGTAAGAGTTACATTCTTTTATGACAACAGTTCTCTAGGCATTTGTACCGGATATTTGGAACTATCTAGTCGCAGTTGCGTGAAACCGTTTGTAGTTTTTGATGGATTTCAGTCTGGCCCTTCCCGTAAAGATCGCTGAACAAGAGGAAAGTAAAAGGTTAGAATAGAGAGACTAGAAGGCCGAAAGTATCGGGTAAGCTCATAATTTTGGACTAGATTTTGGTCCAAAATTTTAAAACTGGAGGCCGCTTACCTGAAAGCAGCTGAGGAGTTACAATTCTACGAGCAGCTGAGGTGTTACAATTTTGCGCTTCGACTCTGCATTAATAATACATTATTAATACAGACCAAAGAGGGAAATATCTTAAATGTAAAATAAAGAAAGACCAACTTTGGTCTAGCTACTAATGATTGTAGGTAACTCGTCGATAGCAGATGATTCGAAAATAGCAAACAAAATTTGGCAGTGTCAACGGCAACTAATAGCGATTAATTAAATACATTATCTAGTACATGTGCTTAAATGAAACTGATTGAAATAGGAAACTTATTAAAGTGCCCCTGAGACGAAAATTGACCATTTTATTTTGGCCTAAATTGTTTACACAATGTTGAATTGGGTCAAGTTGAGACCCTTTTTGCTATTAAAAACTCAAAACAAACCTTCGATGACCAATTTTTACCGCTTCAAAGTCGTCCAAAATTCGTCCGCCATTGCTGAAAACATGTTCCAGCCAAGCCCGCAAAAACGTCATCATGACGTCAAAGGCTCAACAAACGTATCCTTTGCTTTNCTGGGTTATTCCCAGTAATGCCAAAATGCCGCGTTCTTTTGCTCACTGCTCCTTCTGTAAATTTGGGGCTTAACAATTTTAGGTCAATCTGTCACAGTATTTTTGGCTCCGATACTGTAAGCTATGTTACCTTCTTCCCGCGAGCAAACAGTCACAGCACCAAACTAAGTATAGCAAAACACCGTCAACTTCAAACGCAGTTTTCGGAGCTATTTCAGAAATAACTAGAGATGCACTACAGTACAATTCACTTAAGGACTCGTAATATCCATAGGGAATAATTAGATGCACGTTTCAGTCAGGTGGAAGCAAGGAATAGTAAAATAACATGAGAGAACGAGGTGCGATTTACAGGGATTTGCACCCCCAGAAAAAGGTCCTCTCATTCTTATTCAAAAATTCACGATTATAAACTTTTTATCAAAATTAGTAGCTTCAGGTTATTGAGGAAGGGTTTATGTTACAGTTGTCAGTTTTTTAGTCCGCATAGCTTGGTATTAAGGAAAAATTGGACTCGAACTTTTCTCTTCGAAACGCGTAACTAAATGGTGACACCGCCGTGTTGGAAGTGTGTGAAAATAATGGACTGTGGTCGTAGGCCGCGCACCACCTGAAAAAAATTTAATTGAATCCAGCGTCTGAGTTTCTCTGATCTTTCTATTGAACAGCTGAGTTATAGCGTATGATTTTCGATTTAAGATTTTAAAAAGCTATGAAGAGGTCGGGAGAAGCCATTTATAGACTTGCCCAAAACCATCGTCTTGCATAAGCCTTCAAAATATGCCTTTTATAGGATGGGTTCGCGTCGTTTACAAGCCGCGGATTATTTTCCCGTTATAAAGGGCCCTAATGATGTAAGTGGCTTGGTTTCTACGAGCTAGGTTTGCATCAATAGACCTCCACCAAACATTGCATAACAACCATAAACGACCGACCGTAAATCGAAGCGAAAAACAATAAAAAGAATGATAGGCAAAAATACGCTCTTACCGATTATCCCCTCTGTAGGTCGTGAAAAAGGGCCAACGCTTTATCATTTCAGCTGATGAAACCAACTTATCCTATAATACTCCTCACCGATACAGCACCACAGTTTCTTTAGAAACCTACCCTCTTAGACAGTTATAGTTGGTCGAAATCACCGAACCTTTAAAACTGCTATTTGCATTCATCATTTATGTCGTCTCCTAAAAAGTTATGTAGGTTGACTGCTATCAACCTATTACTAAGTGCTTTGCAAGTAGTATGTTCCTGCGTTCGACTTGGTAATTAGCAGGAAAATATGCTCTCATCGGTATCCTATGTTTGTTTAGGCATGTGCGCTGGCATGTGGGTAATTAGCGGAGGATACCTATTGGGCGGTCGTCTCGGTCTTGCGTTTCCAGCGTTGGGGTTATTTTTGTTTGTTTTTAATTTTTCATTGTGCGTGTGCTCTTTCTACTTTTATTTTGAGGATGTTTTCAGTTGTACGATGTGTTCGGATTCTCAGGCTGCTGTTCCCCAGGGATCTGGTGCTTTACTCTACCTTGCAAGTTCTCTCTTGGGATGTTTGCAATGGCTGGTAGAGCACTCAGTACTTCTTCCAATTATATCTCTTCTTACAACAGATGGAAGTCTTAGGCCCGAAAACATGGCTTGACAGCTTTACCTGCATCATAGTTTCACTTTTCCCATTTATTTGCGTCATTTATTGACTAAGGCGAAGACAGCATCTCCCCAGGAGCCAGCCGGTCATGGTGGTGGCAAGCCGTTTCCTACTGAACATCCGTTGGTTAAGAGTATCCTTTCCGTTGCGCAACGTTTGCTGGCCCATCACACATCCAAGAAGGAGCCTATCACGGCCTTTCAGTCACAATAGTTAGTTGCCTGTAAGGCGGACTCGATGGCCTCTTTGTATAACTTATTCATTCATTCATTCAAGTAAAACTGATCAGTATAGGAATGGAGCTTGGATTTTTGTAGGGGAAACCAACTTGTTCGGTTGCTATGATGGACTGTTATTTAGAGAGAGCTGGCCTTTCCTGCGATAACCCTTTGTTTTGCCAGCTGGCCAAAACTTATGTAGTTATAAGCCTAGGGCTAAAGGTTTAAGATATCCGCGGTTAAGAGAATTAGTGCTAGAGGCTTTTAAAGATATTGTACCGGATATTTTTGCCATTGGTACATATTGTATTAGGAGTGGCGGAGCTACTGCTGCTACAAGTTTTGGCGTGCCAGACGGTTTTTTTTTTTTCGGCCGCTGAGCCCGTGAATTGGCTAAGGACGGGTATGTTCAAGATTCTTTATCTTCACGTGTCGATGCCTAAGGCTTTAGGTACTTAATTTTCTCGTGCGTACCTCTTTCTAATTTATTTTAGTATCTATCTTTCTCTTGTTCTTGCCCTGGGGACCGTTGTACATTGCGTACGGCTGGCCTGGGGTTTTCCTCTTCGGTGCAAGTGGACGTACGGGGAGGTTTTTGACCCAGCTGTTGTTCCACGACCCCTTGTCAGTTACCTTTTGATTTAGATATTTGAAGCTGAATGTTACATCGATTATATATATATATATATATATATTGTGAGAGGAAAAAAGGACGTAACTACAT